GAAAGTATATTTAAAAAATGTATTTTCTTTATTACTCATAGCAAAAAATCATTTCAATGCAATTTCAGAAAATTACGAGTATATAACTATATCAATTTCTTATCAATTTTTATCAATTTTTTTTATCATAAGCTTTCAACCAACAAATTAGTAATAATATACATAATACACATATGCATATTAATTAATTTTTTAATTAAATTTTATTATTTCTATAAGCATATATATTGAATGCAAGCATCACACTCCTAGCGTTCTTGCCTTCTAAATCTTCAAATCTTACGTCAGACTGGAAATCTTATTATATACATTTAAGTATCAGATAATTTAACTAGTCGCATACGTTTTTTATAGTATATCAAGATGTCACTTTAGTATCTCTATAACTGTTCGATGTTTGCTGCTAAAGTTTTTAGTTTTTGAAAAAGCAGATTAATTTTTACGAAACAGACTTTTTAATGAAATTTTCGTTTCAACCTGAAAGTTTGTTGGAAATTTATTTCATTAAATTAAAGTGGAATTACGGATTCAATAATTTTATGTTTTATATATTACAGGAAAGTGATCCTGCCATGCTTAAAATATACATATATGTAATAACAATATCATTCTTATTATACTGGAGAAATATATTAATTATTGAAAAATTAATGCAACTAACCATTCGGCATCCATTTTTATAATATGCATTATACGACAAATTCAGAATAGTAATAATAATTAAAATAAATAAGGAAATGATAACTATAATTTTAAGCGGCTGTGCAATTAAATATTAATAATTATTTTACAAAGTTGCTCAAATATTGCTCAAAAATTGCTCAATTATTTACTAAACAAAAAAAGGTTTTAATTGACCTTATAATTATGAAAATTCCACAGGCACATGTCAAGACACTGCAGATGGCCTTCGTTGTAACTAATCAACCAATTAATCTTCATTTATCGTTACAAATAGAAAATATCGGTTTATTTTCTTATGTACTAATAGTTATTTATTTCTATTATCACGATAAACTTTCTATTAATTAAAGTATAATTTTTTTTTCTTTTTTTTTAAGGAAATTCATTGACGTATTACAGATTTATTCGATATTATATTTGGGACCTTATTTATTTACTATGTATTATCTATATTAATATTTATAAGAAATTTGCATTAATTTTAAATAATATGTGCCTACGTATACATGATAGATACACGATAGAATTGGTAAGTAAATTTTGTATGAATGTAATTCAATACTCTAGTACTATAATTCATATTAAATTAGTAAAATATGACTAAAATTTTGATAATTCGATTATTCAAAAATGTATAGCAAAAAATTTATATAATCTTAAAATTATATATTAAATAGTATTACAAAGTATTAAAAATTTATATATTTATTTTCAATAAAAAATCTAATCATTAAATTATTATGTATTTTAAATAAACGTAAAATATTTCTTAACGATTTTCTAATATTAAATATAATTTTATTAAAAAATGTTACATTTAGCACTATTATTGATAATGTATTGGTAATGCATTGTGATTGATAAAGTTGTAAAAATGTCAATTTTAAATTCTTTTTCATCAGATAATTTAAAAAGTTTAGCCAAATAGTAAAATGATTATATTTTATTATATTTTTATACTTTTTATTTACTTTGCTTGGCACATCAATATATTAAGTAAAACTTAAATATTTAAGAAAATAAATTACTTTAAACTCTAATCGAAATCGCAAACTTATTAAAATTTCATTAATATGTTATATTTTAGATTTATTTACAGTTTCGTCATATAACTTGACATTAATAACTATAATAATATGAATATAAATTAATAATAAAAAAAAAAAAAAACAGTATTTTCATCATTTTTATGAAATATGTATTATTCTAACTAATATTTATAATCTAATAAAGAAAAAAAGAAAATGTTTCAAGGTGTTATATAAATATCTTTAATTTTAACAAAATGAGAAATTTAACTAACTACTCAATATCTTCTTTTCCTTTCAACGTCTATTTTTATCATCGATAACTTTTCAACTCATACATACAACCATATAAAGTTCTCGAGAGAAACGAAAGAACTTTTTCGAACACTTTAAAATGTTTACGAGCTCTTTGCAATAATTTATAAACTACCATCAAGGTTCAGGCAAGCAGTTACTAAAACGTAAATGTCAAGTACTCAATTTGATATTATAAGAATTTCGTTGTCTTTAATTTTTTTATTTTTTTTTTTTTTTTTGGACAAATAAATATATTTTATTTTTCTGAATTTTTCTTCACACATGTTACGAAAAAATTTGCAAAAAAATTGTAGAAGTGACCTGAATATACTGAATATTATAAATATATAATTGTCGAATAAACATGAAATATGTAGCAATACATTTGTTTTTCCAAGTGACGATTATAACCATATTTCATTTAAAATTTGAAATGCGTAGTTTTATTCAAAGTTCATTTTTAATGTTTTTTCGTATTTATTGTAAACATAAAACAGTTTTTAATAATTATTATAATTGCAGATTACAAACATTCGTTTAAAAACAATAGCTCTTTCTCTATAACTGATTTGGTCAATATGGATTTATAAATTTATCCAATTCTAGATACATAAACATAGAATAAGTAATTAAATAGGATTACACAACTTATATCTATATTTAATTGAATTAAAATTGCTGTATGTTAAAGAAATATTAAATTAATCTATTCTTATGGTATCGATAGGAAATTTTTAATTAAGACATTATCAAAGTAATTTTTTAACCGACCAAATTTCTGCATATTAAAATTAAGCATCACTCGAATGGATTTCATACTGTAAACTTATATTATTTCTTTGATAACGTTAAACGTTAAATTGTATTTGACTTTCTTTTATAAAAAAGAAAATAAATTTTCTCTTTTGTATTAACCGTTTTTACAAATATAACGATATAATATGTGAGCTTTAAGGATAATTTCAGGAACTCATATTCATCACATAAATTTATTTAGTAATTATCAATGTTTTCAATGATAGTATAAATATCAACTTGGTTAAGCACAATAAGATTATAAAAAAAATCATTTTTAATAAAAATTCATCTAAATAAGCTTGTAAAAATTACTGTTTTCAAAACATCATATTATATTTGTTGCTAATTGTTACGTATGTAAAGAAGTTATTCTTCTTCTACAACAAGTCGTCTTCTACAACATTTATACTTAAAATCATTTAGTTATGTGAACTATTATACTCATATATTTAATATTCGGGAAAAATATTTCCTTCAAAAATATGTAATACTAAAATAATAATTCTTATATTTAATTAAGTTTACAAATTAGGATTCAATAGAGATGCAAATATATTACCGAAACAATTAATTTTATCACAACAATTAATTACAATATTTTATTTCATTTATAAATAATTCTCCTTTACAATACATAATTGTGTAATATTTATTCTTCATGAAAGACAATTTTACAATTAGCTCCGTTTATAGTCTGCCAACTTATTTAAAATTCTTATAAACTATATGGTAACAATCATAAATTAATATTATTTAATAAAAATCGTTCATTTGACTTTAATATCGAAATACACAAATTTTTTAAATTACAAAACATTTGTTTATTATAACATTTATGTATCATTATGACAAATAATTTGATTTTGATATTTAAATTATAATACGTTTTTACCAAGTTTGATATTTAAACTTGATAAGCCTTGACTAAATTTTACAAATAATGTTTTCATTTCACAGTTTAAAATTCTTTGAGTCATTGTAATAGTTACTTTTGATTCCTCTCATACGATAAAAAGTTTTGCAATTATTCAATATTATTTCAAAAATAATATTAATAAGAATATTTTTTTATAATAATAAAATATACCATTATTATACTTAATGATTAAATTTAATTATAATACCTAAAAATATTCATATAATAATTCATTAATTTATATTTATAAATATTCTTTATGAATCTTCATTTTACTTGAACACTTAACACGTAAAATTTACGCATATACTTTCCTTAGTTACACATACAACTTCCTAAATAATAGTGTATTATATTCTCGATAACAATAAGGAATTTAAAATTTGTTTTATAATTTATAACTGTACAAATATGAAATATTTAACTTCTCAACAATTATTGTCGTGAAAATGCTAATAATATTGCATTATATTGAGGATTTAATGTTTCAGTCCGTTTATATCATAGAATCTAATGTTTGTATATACGTGGACGGGCTAGTTCTTTTTTCTTCTTCTTTTTCCTTTTCTTTAACGAAGCACAAACCTGAGTTTTGATATAAATAATCCTTTATAACAATTCAACAAAATTAATAATTATTAATTATTAATTATTAACTATTATTATAATATCTATAATAGTCTTAAAGCACGAAATGTAGAGTATAAATTTACAATTCAGTAAATTTGTTCGAATCATTATAAGGTCATAATTGACTTTATATACAATAAATATACATTGCGAGTATTATTTGCTATTTAATTTGTATAATTTAAAATAATAATATATGACTCGCAAGAGTTCATTAACTCTTGATTAATTAATTTAATCAATTAGCATTGAATTATATTCAATTCTTATTAAAAATATTGCAATTGTATTTGAATTTCACTTCAAATATGGAAAGATCGGTGATTTATAAAATAGAAAGATCTCAGTTTCTATATGTATATAGGCAAGCAGCAATCGTACTAATAAAATATTTCATGGTTCAAGGAAAATAATTATCCTTATATAATTTATATCATAATTTAAAGAGGTTAATTGATTCCCTATTGTAATGTAATAAATTTAATAAAATTGCAGAGCGTTAAAAGAATGCTTATAACACGCGGGCAATGTTAGTTTTATTAAAATATTTTGATTCAAACTTCGGCTCATTCGTTTGAAATTCACGAAACTAGAAAATAATTTAACATTCTTGATTTTTGCCCTTCTTGCTCGTGCAAATTGGTTATTTAAGGCAAAAGTGATTTATCATTTGACTTTAAGTCGATAATCGAATCTACCGAGTTCTTACGTTGGGTTATTGATGTTTCGCTAGTCGTGCATCCTCCATTCTTATTGCTATTTTCATTTTTAGTTGATTTTTCATGACTGCCGCTCTTAAGTATTTTCTCGAAATTCTTTAGGTACTCGATTACTTTCATATGACCGAATGTCTCCGCTTCGTCAATGGGCCGATTTCCCCATCTGTAATTGGTGTATTATTATGTCAATTTATTAAAGACTCGATTCATTATATGAACAGTATTATTGATCGACTATTAATTATAAGTAATCGATGGCGTAATTTTACTAAGCCTATCAATCGTTAAAATTACATTACAAATATTATTTGGTAAAAATAAAAGAAGTTTATTGTACAAATAGAAAAAAAAAATCATATTTTGATTTATGTACATGAAGAAAAAAAGACAGGAAAAATATGTGTACGAGCCAAAATTATCAAAAATAACAATGAAAAAGAATTTTTCGTCAAAACGCTCGGATCGAATAATCCACCAAACGCGTTACATCTCTATTGGTGATCGGCACGGTCCTACATCTACGGAAAGTCCTCGGACAATTGATCAATCGCGCGTCGAATGAAACAATAATGCCAAGGGCTTCTCTCACCTATCCTTGGGATTGTGTGGCACTCCGCACTGCTCGATAAGGAACTTCACGCTGTCCAGGTGTCCCTCACTCGCCGCCAAATGCAGGGCCGTGCGGCCATCGTAATCAGACAGCGTCATATCCATGCCACTGAGCCGGTGCCTGCGAAAGCCAACGTAAAGCCAGGGTTATACAGTGAACCCGCAGCCTCGAACTCCTGGTGGATCGCGACTACCCACGCGCGCCTCCCTTTAAATGCATTTAGCGTTTGGATGAAGCTCGGGGGCAGGGCAGGGGCAGGAGATACCTTGCAATGCCCAATTCTACTGATGCCTACGCCTTACGCTCATTACTAAAGCCTACATTCTGTCGGAGTCGCAGGCTTTTGAAATAAAAATAATAAGAGAAAGAAAAACAAAGTTGACAAAAGAGCACAGGCACAGTGCAGTCGGCCGGGGACATTCAGACTCCAATAAGGATATGGTTATTCAAGTATGGAATGCGGGGTTGACTAATACGATGTGTCGTTATACGTGTGTGGAAGTGTCGGATCTTAACGTTCCTTTTCACTTTTAAGACGGAATAGAGTTTCGACAAATGAACTTACATTAGTTTTGGCCGGATTCCTTGCGTTCCTGTCTATTGCATTGCAGAAATATTATAGTAGGCTCCTTTTACATGCTTACTTTAAGGCAAAGAATTTCTTTAACACGACACAATGTCATTTAATTATACATTAATTGCAATTGCAACACTTGGTGTTTGCGTAAGAGGCTACAAAATCATCACTCGTTGTATTAACTTTAAATATTTAGCGAATGAAAGATTTGTCGAAACTATATTAAAAATCAGTAGGAATTCATACTTTTCTGATAACTATGAATAGTTAATTTTTATTAAATATTATTCATTAACCATTATTTTTCATCGCTAACGATGTTACTTAATTATTTTTTAAATTTTATTTGATTTTTTATAATTATGATGGTTAAAATATTTCATAATACGAATAAAACTTATGTCAATTATAAATATGGTTGTTGATTAATTTTGTAAAAGTTTATAATACAGATCGATAAATTATTATTAATATTAATCTGTGCATATTTGAAAGAATTCAATTACGCTGCATATCAATTATTAATAAGTTTTTCGGAATATTGAATTAAAAAACAAAAAAAAACAAAAACAAAAAAAAAATCTTATTTGTATTTGTTAAAAAAATAAGTTTTTACTCTTAATTTTTACAAAATATAAAGAACGTCATATTTTTTAATATAACATGTAACTTAAAAAATATATATCCTATCCGTTCAAACATATTATTAGCTTAATGACAATAATCTAAAGCTGCGTACAAAGAAAGAAAATGGAAAAGAAAAAGGAAAAGAAAAAAATTCAACAAGTAGGCTATATTACATATTGCATTTTCCCACATTTTCCAATATATATTATAAAATTTTACTTAAATAAGAAAAAAAGAAATATAGCATATCAGCTTCAAGAACTACGCACAATCTTTGATGAGCTTTTATGTCAAATCTAATCTTTAAATATTTTGCGACTCACCACTCCAAGTAATCTCGCATTCTGATGCGAAAGGTTTAGGCGATTGTCGAACAGGTGATGTGTTTACGTGTGCGTGCATCGGTATAACATAGCGTGTGAATGTGTTAATGTCTTATTCCAAATCCTATTTATCTCTGCTTATTATAATTTCTCTTTACTGTTTGTAAGCAAAGATAATCTAAGTAACTTTGTCTTTTAGAAATTAAACAAAATTATTCATTGGTTATTTATTGAAAAGGGATTTAGATATATAGATATCGCAAATTCCATATGGTATATACAGTTTATTTAACAATAATACTTGCACTTGATATGAAAAATAAATCCAAATATATGTTGATGCATTATTGCGTTATAATGATTTTAATTTCAATAGAATAAAGCTCGTCTTTATTTTATACATTAAAAATGAAAAATCTTTAGAATTAGTATTGTGGAATATTAAAGAAATTACGTGGGTAATTTGAAAAATGATACGACTCATTCATAACTTTAAACAATTGACAATCTTATTTGGAGTTTATTTAGATATTATTTAACGCTTTGAACAGGATAAAGGATACTGAATTTTTTTTAGTTTTTTTTTTTGTTTTTTAGTTTTTATAAAAGATAATAGGAAGAGTTAAAATTGTTAGAAAAAGCATTACATAATGTGTGGATAACAATTAGGAAATTGCATTATTAAATATAGTTAGATTAATACTTCAACATTTCACTTCTGTACTAAATTGATAAACGTACAATAAATTCTCCATTATTTGTGATATACTAAAAATTACATAACATTACTGTTTCGTTATAATTAACATTTGTGGCACATGAAACCATTTATCACAAGATTATCGAAACGGAAATTTAAATATTATTGCATATACTTATAGAACATGTACCCGCAATAAATCATATTTACATGTTCATTTACAGTGGCATACAATCGCATACGATTATAATACATTCCTACTAATCAGCTGATAATGTTGTATATTACATATGCTTCGGCAAAATGCTTATTTCAATCATCAAAAACACCTAGACATTGTAAACAGATCAAAGCGCCAAAACAGGCAGAAAATAAAAAAAATTCTAGTGCACTCAAGCCATGTACCAATTCAGTCAGATTGTAATGTACAGTTTAGCAAAAATACGATAGCAAATTAGACAACGTACTTCTCATAATATAAATATCTATGTAAAGTCAAACAGTATTGTAATTTTTCATGTAAAATCATATATAATTATACAATTGCTGATTAATAGCGAAATAAAAAAAAAAAAAAAAAAAAAAAAAAAAAAAATTAAAAAGTTTATTTTGTGTGTTTATGTGTATGATAATAAATAATAGCGGAATATAAAATTTATGAACAATCAAAATTAAATTAAAATTTAGTTCTACAAAAGCAATTTAACCAATATCATATCATTTAATAATTTATATATATTATTTATTTTTAAGCAAACAGTCTTTCAAGATATTTAACAGACAATGGCTTAGAAGGATGATATCCTTCTATGGATTTGCATAAAGTGCTGAAACCGGAAAATACTTAAAACGTATCAGAACAAGCATGACAAATTTATTATATTATTGTACAAATATTAAAATTTTTCTTCTACATAATTCTTAATAAAATTGATTAGTAATGATGAATAGAATTGTGAATGAATTGATCGTGGATCGAAGGAAACTTACGAAATTCTTGAAATATTGAAATACGATAGTGAAAATATGAAAATATCAATTCACTTTACATATTTAAAAATTAATTTAAACATTTTAAATATAATTTGCAGCGCCGTTTTAATCACTGCTTTAACAAAATTAATTGATGAGACTGCCCGTTTGGTGTATAATAATAAATATCATACAAAATGAAACATCCGATGTTCCGGTGTTTAAATAATAATGTTGAAATAAAAATGTGAGATTCCGAGGTGAGTAGAAAAAATTGAAAAGTAGAAAAAAATAGAAGAAAAAAAAATTGTTATTACGAAATTATTGAACAACGAATGTAAATTGGCATTTTTACTCTCCTACCGATGAGGTACATACATCTTTATCACAGCTGTATGCGATTGTATATTAATTTAATTCATGCAAACTATCAGGATGCTTTTGGCTATCTCTAATAAAAAAAGCGAGTCATAACAGTTTGATTTTCAAAGGCAATGTACACTGAAATTTGAAATTTGTTTGTATTAATCATTATTTTGAATTGAAATTTCTTACGTGTTTCTGACACAACATGAACAATACTATCAGGTAAGTTCGATTATCTTTGCGATTGATAGTTACAGAAAATATAGCTATAATTCTGAAATAATCAGCTATGGCTTTTAGTCGAAGTACTGGCGCATGGAATATTATCCAATCCCCTTCTACTTTGAACGAAATAATTAACACGAAGTACAAGGAAGAGCTCGGGGTGACTGTGAGCCCGGGTTACCTGCGCATTGCCGTGACGTCGCCGCTGGCCGCACTGAAGAGCAAATTGACGATCGATAGGCCTTTCGTCTCGTACTTGTGCCTCCGGGGATCCTTTTTGTTTGCCGCGTGCTTGAGATTGTCGTACCTGTGGAAGTTGAACTCGCCGACGAGCTCCTCGCAGAACTGCACGCCCCGACAGGAGTTGCCAAGCATGTCGAGGGGCGGTGACCAAGTGCAGATGCCCATCACGTTGGGTATGACCATAAGCAGACTGCCCGAGACACCGGATTTCGCGGGTATGCCAACCTACGTGAGAGAGGGATTATTGTATTGGCAGTCTCTCACTATATTTATCATCTATTTGTTTATTTGTCCCGAGTTTGTTGCCAAACTCTTACGATGCAATAATTATTTATGAATTAAGTCTTCGTCAGACAAAACTGGAGTTAGGCGTGAAAAACCTGACGAATCGACGAATCAACGAATCCATAATAAATACCACCATCGGGCACGTGAGTTTAACAAGTCGAGGACACTCGAGATCGACTTATTAATAATTTTATCCATGGAAATGTTTATGCATTTGCAAAAGCTTTTATTATCCATCGACTTTACCTTGAAAGCAAATTGACCGCTATAATCGTACATTCCGCAGCTATGCATTAAGCTCAGGACATCTCGAACACTATCGGGTCTCAACACCTTCTCTTCCGTTATAGGACAAATTCCACCGTTTGCTAATGTTGCCGCCATCACTGACATTGACTCGCAATTGGCTTCCATGGAACAACACTGTACATACAATTTACGGGACTTTCAAGCACAAAAATTATAATATAATAACGATGCAATGGTGTCGTGAATCACCCAATGTAATGCGCATCCATCTTACATTTTTCTTTTTTGGCGCATATCATTTATTGGAATATCCACGACTTTGCTCTGATAATAGCACTGTTAATTAATAATGGCTCATTAAAAGTCAATACCGAATGGAAATTACCTGAAAATATAAATCCATACACTCGCGAAGATTAGTTTTCTCTGGATAACATTTGTGCTCTCTCATATAAAATCCAAGTGCATAATTTCTATCGGCTGCCTCACGTTCTGACAGGAAGACAGCATTATTAAATCCTAAACTTTCACCTCCAGCAAGCTTCTTAAAGTAATTCATTGTAAAGTCGAATTTTTCCGCAAGCGTCATTTCTGGCTTTATCAAGCTTTTTAATAATGAACACACTAAAATAGCACCGGCATTAATCATGGGATTGTGTGGTTTTTCTGAAAAAAATTCCTTACATTTATCGAGTATTAATAACTTGTAACTATTACCAAACAGAAAACTCGCGATACGTATAATTACAATGTAGCTTATAGAACTTTTCTTTTAAAATTTATTCTTTATTGTTGAATATAAATATAACCACGTGTCGTGGTGAAATAAATAAATAAAAAAAAAAACAAAAAAACAAAAAAAAAATGCGATTCTTAACACTGAATAATCTAGGACATATGAAATGCACGTAGCTTATAAGTTTACTAATTAATTTTATCGATTATCTTGATTGATTTAGAGTCATCTTGATCGACTGATAAAATAAATAAAATTCATGTATGATTTTCAATTATCAAATGGCAAATTTTTATAAAACTCTATACGTAAATACAATTCATTGCATATTACTGTATTCTATGCATATAAATCAATTAATTTATTTATCTATATATTTCTATGCATATTTTAGGAATAAAGATTCGATTGTTAATGGAAACGAGGCACGGATAAGGAAGAAAATGAAAAATGTCATATTAACGGGCGACTGTGTATGAATCTAAGAATCGAAATTTGACTCACTATTGTGATCTAAAACGAGTTCGTTGAAATTTCTCCCAGACGGCTCTTGCCCCACGTACTTATGAACCACCTCCTGGCCGAGTTTCTCGAGGGCGATCGCGTACGTAAGGGGTTTGCTACAGCTCTGAAGCGTGAATGGAATCGTTGTGTCACCAATACTGAATCTCTGCCCGTCAATCGTGCAGATCGAAACGCCCCAATACTCGGAATTCATGTGAGCTAATTGCGGGATGTAAGCTGCCACTTTACCTTCGATGTTGGATTTGCACTTCCAGTAAAAATCCTCGATGTGTTTCGTGAAGCCAGGAAAATCCGGTATGATGAACTGATGCCTGAACGCTCGTGATATGAGGACTATGTTTGGCGTTATTATTCTGCAATAATAACATATGAAATGTTAACAATTGTCGTAGCTTATGGCGCGCTAAAGAAACTCTCTCTCTCTCTCTCTCTCTCTATATATATATATATATATATATATATATATATATAGGAATTAAGGAATTAAGGAAGGAATTAAGTACAAGTGTCAAATAATGAATTTCTTACATTTATAAACATATAAATATATATATATATATAAATTTATTGTAGGTAATAAAGGTATTAAAATAATAAATATAAACATATATATATATATATTTATATGTTTATAAATGTAAGAAATTCATTATTTGACACTTGTACTTAATTCCTTTTCAAAGAGTAAGGGAAACGTGTTTTCTTATTTCTCTATCGTATTTTACGCTCTTTTACATAAGCTTACGTGCGACATTATAATGGAGAGAGTTTAAGGCTCAGGGTCACTAAATAAAGCGACAGCATGACTTTTAAAAATCCTTTTTTTCCACTATAGATATTTCATAATAAAATATAATAAAATACGCATTGTAATTATTGACTGATTAAATAATGTATCGTACTTTTGAAAGAACAATTTTTCATAAAAAATTATTTTATTTAGGTGTTCAGTGTCGTGCCTTTAAGCTAATCGGAAGGCATGAATAACTCACCTTTTAAATTGTTCCCGAGTTAATTTTTGCGTTTCGTGAGACGTTCCATCGTGTCCTCCAGATTTCGTATGTTCCTTTTTCAAATTATCTGTCAGTTCTTGAAGTCGTGGATCATTTTTTCTTAAGCCTGTGGTTCTCAGGGCCTGTTATATCAAACACATTTTATTAAACAGATTTGCATAAATCGCATTTATAATATATTATTTACAATAATAATTTTTAAGAAAAGAAAGTAGCGATTATATATATATATATATATATATATATATATATATATATATATATATATATATAAATTTATAATAAACTATCTATCATTACATCGTTACAAACATTAAATTTATTTAAATGAAATTACAAAATTCATTTATTTAAAACACCCTTATTAATGATATATTGATGAAAAATTTTTATTTTATTGCTTACAGCCAAGAATTTTCCAACGTGAAGTAATTTAGTCTCTTCATTTTTGAACATATCGAACATTACATCTTCTGCATTTGATATTTTATCCTGGTCTGCCGTGCTGGAATTATAATCAATTTACGTAAAATTTGCAATAAAATTTTATTTACATATTATTTCATTAATGTCAAATTAATAGTAAAATTCAGCATAATACTAAATTAATATATTATAAAGTAACAAGGCAAGTTATAATAATGTAAACGTGTAAGGCATTGCATCGATAATTGTACGTACTAATTACTTGATTAAAAAAAAAAAATATATATATATAATGATAGTATAAAGAAAGGTATGAAGCTTCAATAATTGCCAATGGTTCCATATATTTTTAGTGTATGAGTTATCCAATGCATAGTTAATAATATACATTCACAACAACAAGAAAGCTTATATAAATACAGTTGAATTTTTTATAACAATTCAACTATGTGCATAAACTTATTTCAAAATTATTTAAAACATATTTGCCTATTTATTATGACCATAGGATACATTGCATTTATTTTAACGAGACAAGATATTTTATGCATACTACTGAATAAATCTGATAAGCGATTCTTTCCATGCCAGAAAATATGCATGGTACTCACTACATGTTATGGCTGTCATGAATGAAGCTGTAATTGCTGGAAAAATATAAGATATTAGTATATGAGTAGAGTATAGAACTAGAGTATTTAATTTTTTTCAGAATCTCTATGTGAATCGTAAAGATCAATAAAGAAATATCTATAAAAAAATTGTAACTAATTAATTATACACTTTATGAATTTTCAATCACTTATAAAAATGATATAAGAACATAAATTTTGATTACAGTAATTGAAAATTACAACAAAATGTGTGTGAATAATTACTGTTTTATGATTGTAAAAATTAAATATATCGAATGTTCAAGAATGAATAATGTAAACATTATTTTAAAATTTAGTTGTAATCGATTAAAGAGTTTTACAATGAATTGTTTAAATAATTTATCTTATTAGAAATCAATTCATCAAAGTTTTTTCTTTCTTTCTAATGAATAATAATATTTTCCGTTAAAATTTGGAAAGTAGATATTTCACACGAATGTAAGAAAGAAATCATAAAACCACAATTTGCAGTCCACAACATTATAATATCTGGAGATAATAAATTCTGTAGTTAACTAAGCATTGTCTAAAAAGAATAAAATACTTAACAAGTATTGATTGAATTTATAAAATTTTCTTAAACATTTTCAATATGTTGTAAAGTATAATATTTTTGATCATTTTTTCTGTACAATAGTAGAAGTTGAATATTCTAGGGATCATTTTTTACTAAAATGTTCTACTCTACCAAGTGCATTTTAATTATCTGTAGTCGGTAACGTATAATTCTGTAATGAACATTATTATGTAGAAAGTCTTTATTAAACATAGGAAACAGATATATTAAACAAATACTATGATATTAATGATATAATTAAGATTCTAATAGTTATTCGAAGCGCGATTGAAGAACTTTAATATCGAATAAGAATATTTATATGCAATAATTGAAAAATAAATAACGATGTTAGTCTGAACATTAAAAAAAAATGTTTGTAAATTAATTATAAGATTTTAATTTTGTAAAATTGTCTAAGCACACGTTATAAAAGTTGAAAAGATAAAATGAGAAATTTATCGATAGATTTAATGATAAATGAAAGTTTAGTTATCTAATTCGCCAATTGATCAAGTTTTTGGCATTTGGTAATAATTTATGAATAATGATACGAATGACGATGTTGACAATGATAATGGCAATGGTAATTTTAAGTATATATTCTATCACATGTTATGTAATCTAATTAATTAAAAATTAATAAATATTGTTTAAAATAATGGCCCTCCTTTTGTATGAAAATATTTAAAACAGTTAAATGATAAAAGTAATTATGAAAAAAAAATTTTATTTCCAACTTCAACATTTATTTATTTATTTTTTTAATTTAATATTATTGACTGTTTAAATTAGCTACAAACGTAAAACAATTTTTATAGAAAAAAGAATGTAAAAATCTTCGTTGATATTCAATAACTTTTATGTATTTACGTTTCTATACCTTACTTATGTATGCAATAAATATATGAAAAGCTATTGTGAGTAATAAAAGTTACGATGAAACAATAACAATGTGTATTATGTTGTATATTTATGTTGTAGATAATAATATAAATTAAATTGGGACATTTAAATTTTTAATAATTTCTGACTAAATCATTAAGCGTCGGCTGATAATTTTCCTAAAATACAATGGCAATAAACTTGCTTTTTTCTTTCTAAAAATATTATAAAATATTAGTTGTGTAAATACCTATAGTTATTGTTTTATAATATTAAATATAATTGCATGTAGTTTGATTTGTTATTTTTACGTTGTTGTCCTAATTACCGATTATTTTTTAATATTTAAATAATATAAGTATTAGATTGTCGACAATTTTACATGAACACACATTATACGAATATAATTGAATTCAAGTCGGCGGACTTATATGGTTATAACGTAAGCAAATTTTTTAATTAAATTTATTTACATTAACCCTGAAAAATTATTATATTTATCAATGTCTTACCGAATTTTTCCATGATCAAACTCCAAACCAGTTCCATAGCAAGCATCTAAATATTTTGATGTACCAAGTTTTGTATATTTCGGTACAATGGCTCGTCTCTGTAAAATTAACAAATTTACTCACGATAACTGTATTTTACTCCAATGGACAGCATAATAAATTTGTTAAATTTATGGCTAACATTGAAGTTTAAAATTGTTATTTAAATTTTACAAAATTTTAAATTACATTTATTTAAATTAGGCGAAATTACCGAAATTACCGAAATCACCGAAATCACCGAAATCACCGTAGACGAAGACCGATGAGCTAATTCACAAGAATTAACTCGATAAAATTCTCCATATTTATTTATATTGCCCACCCGAACAAACATAAATAGTGTTCTAAAGTTACTCCAGAAAGAGTAGATCCAACTTTTCAATATATTAACGCTAGATATGTAAAATTAAGCTTAAGCGAGCAGTTTTCTAGCCGACAGAGTTGTTCTAATAAGAAACGTTCTTCCTAGCATCTTATTAGAAACTATAATCCTATTTCTTTCAGCCCGTTGCTTTTTCGTCCTTATCATCCCTTTTTAGCGTTTGTTATCAGCCTCTAACGAAAATTTTATTAAAAAATTTTTTTCAATAATTTTAATAATACCAATGGCCATTTCTTACATCCCATTGAGAATTATCGTTTTCCTATAACATAATAATTTCGCATCTAAATCTTATAAATTATATAAAAATTTTACTAGTATATAACCTAAGTTACGTAATGAATTCCAAAATCAAAACGTCTAATATGTTATGCAATTCCAATGTACATTCAATATACGAATTATTGTATTAAAAACAGTCGTCCTATTTTTTAAATAAAAATATAATTATTTTATATTTTATACCGTATAACAATTAATGTAACAAAGATAATTGATTTTCCATCACATTTCATTTTGTCAGTAACATTTGTAATTTGAGTTCTTTAATAAGATAATCTACCAATGACAGACATAAAGAGATCTATTGCTTGGAAAAAATAAAAATCAATTTCTCTTAAGGGTACAATGATTTTTCGTACCCTCTATATATAGATTGTTAATACTCTTGCAGCTCTTAGTATTGACACCCCAATGAAAAGATAATCAATTCTACAAAATGAATAAAAAAAGGAAGTTTGTTTTTTTTTTTTTTTTTTTTTTTTTTTTTTTTTACAAAAATTATATATGTATATTGATAAAAATTTCAAGGATTTACGAATTCGTGTCAATTTTAGCAATTGTTTTTTATACGTGGTACATAAATAAATAAATAAATAAATAAATAAAAATAAAAAAAAAAAAAAAATCCGTCAAATTTCGTCCAAAACGAACTGTATTACCACCGAACTTATTGTATAAAATAAGGTAACTGCCGATTTATGTCGAAGACAAAAACGCCGTTAAAGGATAATTTATAATAATCCTATGTATAACTTAAGGTAAGACTGAAAGGAAATTAATCAAGAGGTAGGACCAACATATTGACACGAAAATATTCTAATGATATTGTTCGAAAATGCTGTAGTTTTCTTGGCTCAAACTGCCAATGATTGGATAGTTTTATAATAATTTACCGCCCGCGCTGGTCAAATGTAAATGCTAGGGAAGGAATTAAGTGAAAGAAGAGAATGTAGAATTATCCTGCGTTTTCGATGAATTTATGGTTTATTTTACAATTTATAATACAATTACATTATTCATGTATTGGATGCATCTTAAGTTTAATTGTAAAGATGCGATTTCTTGTGACGGATGTTTCACTACACAAGATGATCCTCGAGTCATGGACACGGACTGGACTTTGTGTACTCACAGTGATACGGTGGCCTTGATCTCATCCTGGGATGAGTAGTTGAATATTATTCACGATCCAAATGTCCGGGAGTGCGTGCTTGGTAGTCTGGTCCTTTCGTGATATAAAGGAGATATAACTTTAACACTTATCGACTGCTGCACAGGAGGGTTGATGTATGATCTTCCTTCTGGTCAGTGGATCACTTAACAAAAACTTGGTCACTAGTTTTCACCGATAAATGAGAAATGATTCCTACTTGGCTACTCCACGCGGACTTGGACAATCGCAACGTCGAAAAAAGTGTTTTTGGCAGCAGCGCCTTCGATTCAGTTGCTCATCCTTCTCCTGACGCGGAGGGGGCCGGAGGGTGTTCTTGGTAAAACGTCTTCGCTTGGCTTGTACAATTGGCAACATGTCGAGTACTTGACAACAATGTATGCGTAAGTGATGTCTCGTGACATTGATGGCATCGAGGACACACGAGGATTGGCCGATGTCGCACGAGTTGGATTTCTCGTTACAAACGAATTTTAGGAAATATTTTTCAACTCGATTGTTTATATATTTCTCTCACTCTTGACATATTCTCGTATAAACAGACTCGGCGCGCTCTTGCTAGCTAAAACCAACGGTCGTTTACTGCGCTTTCCGAGCCTCCGATGAGCGTGGAAGAATTTTTTTTAAAAGTTATGACCCTTGGGGTATTTTTCCAAAAATAATACACGAGAAATTCTCTAAATCTCGAACCCCGATACATAAGGCTGAGGTAAAATCTATGAGAATTAATTGAAAAAGTCTGAAGAATGGATGGTTTATTTATTGAATAATGAATATGGAATAAGATTTCAATGGCAAATAGATTATTAGAGATTAGGATGTTAGAGGTTTATGATCTATATATGTACGTTTACATTGAATAACGAAGCAACGAACTTGCAAAAATTCGGCATTACGTGCAGTTTGAAACATACACTTTGACGTCCAAGCTACAAAGTAATGGCTGCACATGCAGAAAAGATAAAGAAGAAAAAAATTATTTCTGCTTAAGAGAAGCAGCAAGTCGATAGGAAAATTTATTTGCAGAGTAGAGAAATTTACTTGTCAAGTCTATTTGCAGAGTAATATCAACAATCGCTTGTGACTATTGAAGCTGTAAAAGAAATTACTTCATATTGGTACTTTAGATCAGGGCATTACAATGCATGAGAAGCGATGTAAGATTCGCTATTTGTAAAACGTGTTGACGTGTAGTCTC